GAAAAAAATCTAAAACTAACCATATCCACTATAATAAAAAATATTCATTTTGAAAAAAAAAAAAGATCACGCGGCTGCATAAACAACCAAAATATTTGGAACCCCTAGTTTTCACGAAAACGACTACTAAGTGCGTGACGGTCAGCTTCTATGCAGTTTTGCTGGCTGCACTTATAGCAAAAATAATAGCATGTATGTTGCACTGTTACTGATCCTGCGACGATTGGCGGTTGTTAGCAACGACTCGCATGTTATGAAGGATACAGGAGCGGAGTGGATTACCCAAAAATTTATATTAAATAATATTCCAAATAATAATATTTTTTTATTTTTTTTTATAAGCTTCTACAGGCCATTAAGGCCCTTCGCTGCTTCTACTAAGCCTCACCATCGGTCTCTGTTGTCTACATCCTCAATTATTGCAGTTTCATCTACTTGCATTAAGTCTTTCTTTACCTGATCTATCCAACGCTGTCGGGGTCTTCCTCTATAATAATAATAATAATAATTTTAATTACAATAATTATAATGACCTGGTATAGAGCGTCCCGGGAGTAATTATCAATGACTAATATATTAATAATAATAATAAGATTAATAATTTTTGTAATTCAAAATATAAATGTACGTTTCAGATATGTCTTTTTGATTAAGTTATGTATACTTTTTTCACAATAATTAATCAAATGTGGCCTGGTGTGGCACGGTGATTGGCCTCAGTCGCTAACGTGGTCTGAAGTCAAACATCGACCGGTGTTGTTAATAACTCTCGAATGGGTGACAATCCTCGTCACATATAAACGTATTTCAAAAGCAGTAACCCTCCCCTTTAAGCCTTAAAAAACCAAAATAATCATAATATATAGTTGATCATATTAGAATATTAAATTAAGTAATTAAGTTCATATAATAAAACAATTATACAAAAAGTGTTTTTTTAAAAAACTTTTTACGTTTTAAACTTAGAATAAATGCAAAGTCGACCTATGTATTTTAATGGTATTGCATTTTTACGTATTAATAGTACTATAGAATATATTATATTAATCTCAGTAATTCAATATAGTGCACTTTAAATTTTCAAAAAGATTTTCATTACAACAGAATATACTATAATAAAGAAAAAACCATTTAATGAAAATAATATAAAAATATATTAAATTCAATTAAAGAAAAAATGTTTCTATTTAAAAATTACTAACGGAAAAATATGTACTTTTGGTTTAGATATAGTTTTGTATTTCCAAACGATATACAATAAATTATGTAGGGTAATTTACCAAGTATGGTCATCTGTATTCTAAACTTCAATTTTCAATTCATTCAAACATTTCTAAACTTTATTTAAAATTATTAATATTTTTTAAAATACTTATAATACTTATATAGACTAATTCAAATACTTAGACTCTTATAGCCATTTAATAGGAGTCCAGTGAGATGGAAGTAATTAAAAATATGCTATTTAAAAATAATTAGCAACTGAAAAATCTGAAAATCAGAATTTCAAAAAATGCATTGAAACAATTGTTTGAACATACCAAGTAAATCACACTGCAATATAATATTTTATATTTTGTACATAGGTATTGCAGTATTAATTATTATATATTATTATATTAATCATTGATACACGTCCACGACAATCATGTAAAGGAAAGTCGGTCGTTATAATGTCATATCATCATAATTAGTGATCGATGAACGGAATACCTAACCATAAAGTATCTAGATAGGTACCTATAATAGGTATAGCGTATAAATACGATCCCTTAGAGAACGACGCTACACGTCTGTTGATATGCACATATATAATATAGCCATATATACATATGTATATGAATATAACGTATAAATCAAAAATTTTAATTCACCCATCCTTAGCTTCTGCAGCAAACCACCTCCACCCCATATTTTCGTCGGTAAAAGCACGAGTCGCACTCACGCTTGTGTGTGTATTTATGTATATAATTAACATTTATATCCGGACCGCGAGAGAATGGGAAAATATCACACGATTAACACGTTGTTCGGGTGGTTTTTTATTTTTCGTTAGCCTTCGTTAGTTTTATATATGCAATAATAAATTATTACCATGCCTCTATATATGACGGTGCAGGTACGCGCAACGAATTTATACATGTATATACATCCCTCGGCAATAGCTAAAATTAAAAAATAATAAAATGAAACAGTATAACAAAATATTCAACCACTTAAATAAATATTGGATACAAAAAATACACACCTACGATTACGGTTGTATCCTTCATGCAGCCATTAACAATTGTAGTCAATAGGGCGGGGGAAATTTTAACTCTCCGCTATTGAAATGTTAACTTTATAAGATATTTTCATTAATATGTAGCCAAGTAAAATAACTATATATCACATATATGTACTGACATGTATTAAATAAAGTTCAATATCATGGTTTATGATGGAAATTAATAATTTTAAAATGTTCGCATAACTTGCTGTAAAATTAAATATCAAAAAATACCTATATTGAGGCCCAAAAATCAAAATTTATAATATATTCTCATTTTTATATTTGATTATATTTTAAATACGCGCTGTAATATGAAAACTAACAGAATAAAATAAAATATTCTGAACATATAAATTGCTATATTCTGCGATAGTAAAACGACTAAGAAAATGGAGACGGCCGTATATAACACGTCGTGTTAATATGTGAGTATAATGTTTTCTTAACAATTTAATATATGGATGTCAAATGAATTGAGCCCTAAATTGTTTTAGTTATTTAGTTACGGTACATTAATTGAGATTTAAATTATAATACTAGTTGAGTCCATGTTGTATTACTAATTGAGTCTCGTAAAACTTTGGATAAGAAAAATGACATTTGATTTTTTTACATCATCTGTAAAAAAACATTTTACAAGTATATTTAAACATTTTTATTTTAAGCTAATAGGTATGTATAATATATAATTGAATTGTTTAAAATAATATAAGCAAATTTAACATGTACCTATAAACTTATTGCACCGATAAAAATTTGGGCTACAAGCTTATTTTGTACAAGCAAATCTTAATATTTATTTTATTTCTAGCATTTGAATTTTTTTTTATAGTTTCGTTTTCTTTACTATTATAAAGTATCATAAATTTCAACGATTTATTTATGAATTCATTATTTAACAGTGTTGATAGTTTTATTTGAACTAGAACAAGTCGTACAAAATAAAAAAAATCTACGAAATTAGAATGATATAATATTTTACTTTTATCAAGTGTGGGGATAAGATTAGTATATTTATCGTTTATCGATCGCAGACTCTATTGATAGATCTCTCGTTTACTCGTAGGTACCGGAACCATAGGCACAACTAGACCAATATTTTTTAGGGATTCACAACTTTTGAAAAGCTTTCAAAACTATAACTATAAATTATAATGTATACTGCAGCATTGTCGTAATAATTGTGTTACTATTATAATTACGCATCTGTGACCTGCTCTATACCTTCAAACAAATCAGTGCTGTAATAGATGCCATTGACAATCATTAATCATTAATTTAGTTATTTAGTCAGTAAGCTTAATAATTTTACAAAACTTAATTTTTTTACAATACTATTTCAATCTTACCAACTAAACATATCGGAATTTACCTCAAACATTTTTTTAGAATTTTACCTAGGAACACAAAACACAAGCGTTATGTCATTGATTTATTATAATTATAATATATTAATATGGGTTTCTTATGAAGACTCGTAGAATTATACTTTTGAATTTTGACTGCCTTTTTCATAATCAAACAGTCATAACAATCATAATGTTTGTTAATTTATATACCTACGTATCATTCATAGCACGTTAGCTATAAATTAATCGCAAATGGCCCAATAGCTAATGTGCGTGAGTTAGTCTTGCTTAAAACGTTCCACACCTTGAAGAAAAACTAATTTGATATCTATAATAATATGATATTAATTTTTTTAATGTAGTTTCCATGAAGTTTGCATTTCCATTATATTATTTTGACTGTTAGCATATAAATAAAATTAACTCAACCGGTATTACTACTATGCGTGATGTACTGATGTTTATTATATTATAATGTATATAAGTTTATATACTCGTACATCATTTATGTCATCGTTGAGTTTATTTACTACGTATAAAATATGTAAGTGAAAAGATTTTGTGGCGTAAATATTATTTGTACGATGATTGCCAAAAAATCGACAATTCTTGTTCAGATGCCAGCCGTAGCATTAAGAGTAGTTCTGTCAGCTGTCGTCGACTTTTTTACCACGTTTCCTTCACCAGATGCCCAGATGGTTCTAAATTTAAGCGCGAATACAATTGTTAACACGCGCTCGCCACTACCGACGTGTGATATGACATATATTATATTAAATTTTACATAAATCATAAAATATTGTACAACATTATTGTTGTTACACTACTAAAATAGTTTAATGCATAATACATCAATATAAGTAATGTGATGTGACTTAATAATAATTAAAAAAATAAAATTAGATTGACTATTACATACGATGGATTACATATTGATTATGTAATATATTTTTTCGTTTATTTTAATCAATTGATACATATTAAAAATTACACGGAACAGTATCTCAAAAGGTATAAATGCATAATAAAATTGAAATATATATTAGTCGTCTTTTGTTTTATTATATGTATATTTTTTATTTGATTCAAAATAAATATAATATATATATATATAGGTAAAAAACGGTTATCGAAAAAAAACAAGTAGGATATTTAATAATAATGCCGCGTGTAAACAATATAATATATAATGGGACATAATTTGTGCGTTATTTTAAAACCATTTACATACATACCGCTCAGATAATATTATTTTAATAATAATTACGACAATATGACACACACACCATAATAACAATAGTAATATAATGACCGCTTACAACCACATACACCGCGACTGCAAGCTCGACTTTCAGATAACAAATCGCAACGCATTACTCTATTAATAAATGTGTGAACATAACATAATATATTATATAAATAATTATAATATTATATTATATTAAATGGTACTCGTATGGTGCAATTATTTGCCGATGATGATCTTCCTGCCAGCGCCTATGTTTTGGCCCGCTTGCGTGGCGCCTTTGTTTTGTCCAGCCTGCAACCCGATGATGGTTTGGCCGGCTTTCAGGGTTTCCTCGGAGAATTCGCGTTTAGCTTCATCGGAGGGTTTTGGTCCCAAGTAAGGTCCCTTCCATTCCGGATGTCTGTACGTCTACACGGTATCATAATTAATAGTGTTGTATAAGCATTTTTTAATCATCATCAAACGCGCATAATATATAATATGTAAATAATTTAGTCGGCGGATAAAGGCGGTTTACGAATATTATACATGCGACAATGTCGACGTAACATACGTATAATGGTCGACTTTCTTACCTCGCGGCCCAGAGCGAACAGCGTCATTATGACTTGGGAGAAGTCCTTGCATTCCCATAGGTCGACGGTCTGAAAAACGTCAATGTCCGCGACTCCGTACTGTTTGATGGCCTTCTGGAAACTGCAAGTGCGAAAACACATGATAATTCATTACGATATCACAGTTATAAGGTTAAACGTGAGGCTAAAAATAAAACACTACGTATTACACTTCGAATTTTCGATCAAAAACCTGTCACCCTTGTGGATGGTTGTACAGTTCAAAACACCCACCCACAAGTAAATTGTTTACGCCTCCTTTCGCCTGTCGGAACTTCCACCATACACCGTCGTCACGGTTAACTATTTACAGACACACGTACAAACACACACACATGTATATATATATATATATATATATATATATCGTACAAGTATCATGTAAATAGTACGCGAAGCTCAGATGCTACCGTATATCTATATATAAATATATTATCGATAAATGATTATAATACAATGTCGAAATCGAAACATATATACATATATATTATATATATTTGTATGTGTATAATAGACTTTGCTACAATATATAGGTATACACACAATACGTGTTCGTTTTATGTACATATATATATATATATTATACATGACAGACTTCGCACCTATATCTTGTAAAACTTGAAGTTAGAACTTCTTTGCTGTCGCCCCCGAGCACAATTCCCATATTATAATGTTATATTTTATTATTATACACGCTGTACTTTATGATTTATGACTCGAAAAACTTTTGCGCGTTAAGTCGCTCTACAGCGACCCGCTTAAAAGTTTATTTCACCGCGTGTATACAAGCATATATAAAAGTTTGTGCTGCCGCGAGAACTCTAAACGTTAAAATTTACTTAGCGTGACACGACACTCCCGAAATTATAAATGCACGCGCGGTCCCAGAATAAATAACGCCTCATAAAATTATTGTTCCAACCGTCTAGGCTATATTGTGTTCGGTTCGTATTCGGTATTGTATGGATAAATATTTAAATATTTTATATTACCTGCGTAGAGGGTAAAAAAATATAATTTAACGTCAAGCTATGCCTGCTATCCATTCAAAATGTTTTTTATTTATAGGTATAGGAGCACGAATTCTCTCGTCGAAAACTCTTCAAAAATATATCGCGATTGTTCCATAGCATTGAACTTGAGGTGAAATTTTGCGCTAAATCAGCAGTGTAGGATTAATCGAGATTTTTTCATTATAGGTACAAACTGTATACACTCAAAAACTGAATTTATCGGTCACGATGCCACGCGTGCACTCGTGTGTGTAAAATAATAATAGTATAGTTTTCCGCTACAAAAAAGTTTATGGAGGAGATGGTTCAGGGAGATTCATACCACCCTTTCCCATAATTACCCTTGATTCGAAATAGGGACACACAGACACGACACGACGCCTAAAGTTAAACGAATAGTCTACACGCCGTTTAATCATTATTGATGGTCACCATTATCGCCCCCGGAACATGTATACCTAGCTATTTACAAATATGATATACAATAATATGTACAACAAGAATGCTCTGCAAAAGTTTGCTTGTAATATATTGTGTTTATTCATATCCGAAATACACGACTTTCGATTAATTGGGGTATTTACGGTGTATCCACATCATAATATACTAAATGGGATGCAGGGTCTCATAGTATCAACTTATTTATGAAGCGAAAAAACCAAAACATGTGGAACGTTGTTTGAATTTGATTATGATGTTATTGTATTATATTTTATATTATGTATACCTAAAAACGAAATCGATCAAAAAGCTTAATTTTTGATCCACATAAACATAAGTGTACATCGTTAATATTCAATTACAGGAATTGAATCAAAAAAATTGTTCTAAAATAGTTTTCTCGATGTTAACATGTAAGTTGTAGAACACGTAACATTGTTTTAATCGGATACAACTGATATATATTGTTTTAATATTAGACTCGTAATAAAAAAAATGTTTGAATAAAATATAATCTGTTTAAAAATTGCAATGCATGACTCACATGTTAATGTTTTCCATCATTTTGAACTGTCCACCGGTAGTGTTGTATTTGGTTACACTTCCTGGGCTAATGGTGTTGATGAGTTTGCACAGTACTTGGCCATCTTTGATGTATTCTTCCAATGGAAAGCCTTTGGGAAATTTATATCCCAACACCGCTTCCATCCATTCCTGGGCTTCCTTCTCTTGTTGGGGGTCTCGCTTGGAAGCGAGCTGTCGAGTAAAAAAAAAAAATGAAAATCGTTTTACACGTTATAATATAGCTCTATTTGAACTTCAATGTCGCCATTGACATTCACAACAATATACTAATATATATATATATATATATATATACACATGATATATAATATTGTATATAATAACACTACAACGATATAACTATTGTATAGTATTTCGGACGACTTACTTTAGCGCGAACTGCACGTTCCAAAGACATGAGTATTACGAGGATACACACGTTGCAATAACAATGCGAAAACAATGAAAATATGCGTAAGCCCGGAGGAACAGGTGGACGTACGCTTGTTCGAGGTTTGGCTGACAGATGAAAATTGAAAATCGCTCGAAACTGTGATCCCTTTATATACGCTCGCGGGTGCGGCGGCAACTGGAGAGATTTGACTCGGAAATAGATCCATACTGACCACACTGTGTGTATATTAATACGTTTATAGAATATGACACACGTCTAAAAATAATGCGTGACCATGGTCATATTGGTATACACAGTCTCCTTCACTGTGTTATGCTATACGTAATGAATCGCATGACAGTCCGTCCCACTAGGCATGACCCGTTTTCTTAAAACGTGTGTTCGTTTTTTCATGTTAAAAACGAATTCTTACGGAAAAAAGGGACTTGGCCGCGCTAGACCGACTATGCGTTGCTGGCGCGTGTTTTTCGAACGCGCGGTATAACATTTAATATCACTGCGGATGAGTCATGTCTTAGCGAATACTTTTCTCGTCACTTTCTTTATATTACGTACTATATATTATGATAAACAGATAAAATATACATATATAAGCACAAATAGCAAACATTTTACGAGGGACTTAAACAGTTATTCGTATAATAGTGGTTTAATAAAATGAAGCGCAGCACCACGCCTTCCAACTATAATTATTGACGCATAAACACAAATTATTATATTATTATTATACACACGATAATTCTTTTGTTGTAGTCGTGTAACTTTCGAACGACTTGACCGTTTTCGATAAAAGTCATATCAATAGATAGTTTTTTTTAAATTTTTTTGTATATATATACATATATTAATGATTACCTTTGGTTACGTATTATAATATTATTTATTATAATTTGTGGGAAATATGGTGTATACGTTTTTTTTACAAATATATTTAAAAAAAATACAATTATAATCATTACTCGCTTCCTTAATTCTGCAAATATTTTTGATATATTTTTTAGTAATACATATAAAAACGAATACCATTCAATATTAGATTTATATCAGATTTTAAGCATTCGTTAAATCTGTTTCCAGTCTTTTGTGTTAACAACAAAAATACGTCCAGAATTAAGAAGTGAAGAATCACAAAACTATTATTCATTGTAATTACAGTGTTTGTATTATATTTTTCAACAAAAGCAAAACGGAAAACAATATAGAGAGATAGATTAATTTTTACCCTATTATTTTTATTATTGTTGCTGTTGTTTATAGTTTAAATACGGTTGATAGAAAATCATTCGTATAATATAATTGGTATATACATATAAGGACACACATAATAATATTATGTACTACACGGCGACATTGTATTATAATATGCGATCTCAACGTGTATATACACATTATTATTATATACATGTACGTGCGAGTGGTGGGTGCGTGGGTATAACGGCATAGTGTGCGTGTCCTGTCCGTACGCACAGTACGGGTTTGCGTATACCCAGTCCCTATGGGACCTCGCAAGCCCGACGAGGGAGGAATCGCGTGAGGGTGTAAAAACAAAATTGAATACGGACGTTGCACTACACAAATATATATTATATGTACATACGCGGATTATATAACAACGCGGCAGTTAAGCGTGCGCGTACACAGAGTACGGTTTCAAATGAATATTTATGGTCCGTCCAACTGACTGTTCGCCCGCCAGCCCCGCGAAACTATTAAATCCAGCGTATCTACCTACGTATATGATATATATATATGTATATGTTAAAAGTCTTTTCTGCACGATCAAACACGTACACCGCTGTAATGATCTTCTGCATGCAGCACTGAGACATCGGTCAATTTTCAGTGTTCAATTCGTGTATCATAGGGCGTATATCAATAGTTAAAATTTATTATTTATTTATTATTTTCGTAACCCTCATATTGGTCAAAAATGGGATTTCAACGATATACTAAATTTCATATTATTTTTGGTGAGACTAACTAAAATATCGAAACCCACAATTCAACTTTTACCATATAATTTTTTTATTATTCCTTCGTTCGAACGTCATTTATATAATAGCCAACAATTAATGTTGACAAATGGTGCCAAATGGTAAGTGTCTAATCTAACCTATATACCAAGTATAAAGCAAATATAAAGTCACGTCAAAATTATTTTTCCCGTCATTGCTATTAAATTTTGTTCGCATTTTAAAATGTTTCAAAATAAAAGAATTCATAATAAAACAAAACGAAACGTTTCATATATAACGTTTGATAACACAATATTGTATAAGTAATAAATAACAATATTATTATGTCCAGTATACTACCTATAAAGTAATCATAATACAAATCATTATAATTAAAAATCCTTTCATTATTATTATGTTGTCAAATGGTGCATATACCTTGACTAACAATAACATAAATTATAATTCCTAACTCAATTCTCTATTTATTCATAAATTACCAAAAAAAAAAAAAATACGAACTAGATAATTAGATTTATTTATACATTTTAATATATAGATGCACGTTAACAACGACTAAACATAAAAAATCGAGAACTCGTATAAAGTCGAATGGTTATGTTTTGATTTAGGTATTTATTTATGTAAGTATTATTAGGATACAATTTTTTCTTCACTAATGGTAAGCCGTATGTTTTTCGTTAACCTGAAGTATAATAATAATATATTACACTGTATCGTCAACGTTGATCCTACTCGAGCGAAATCTAATATTATGTACCTACACTTGCATAATTACTCTGCAGCTACTGTATTCGTCCGAGAAATCATTTTTACTAATTTCCATGTACAAGTTCGGACATGTGCACGTATACGCTCTGAAGTTTTTCTCAATACACTATTAAAATTTGATTAAGCTACTGAGTATATCAACTCCGCAAATTTTTCCTGCAGTGTAAAACCATTTTCATAGATAAATTTTACTAGTATTGTATGACATTCGTAAAAAGTTAGTTGATATACCTATACGGCTTTTCATATTATTGGACCGATCATAGTATGATTGATATCGATTTTGATACTTAAACGATTATTCCAACACATCAATATGAAATGTAATACAGTAGTAATAATTACTATTACTATAGTTTATAGGAAACTATAATTATTTTTAAATGATATAAAAATACAGTTTTAAATGTTGTGGGTATATAATATATTATTCTGAAGTAAACTTCGAACTTCTAAGTGATATCGAGACCGTTGACAATGTGTATCACGATTATCTATACGATAGTTAACCGTGGTGTGTATACCTACACCTTAAATATAGATACCAAGCTTTAAACTTTATAAAGAAAAAGGTTAAAACCAATTAACATTTATCTTAAAGCTATGATGTATATCATAGCTACTTATAGTATTATGGTTACCAATGGCGGAACTATAACCAAAAATTGAAAATATCAATCACTGAGATTGGGTGCTCTAATTTACCAATTTAAAGTGGCTCCGAATCAACCAACAACAGCCTATTTTTATTGATGATTACACATTTTATATTAATATTAAAATCATTAAGTTTTAATAGGTAATGGTAATCCCAAAATAATATAATCAACGAACTCAATTATTAAGTTTCATTGTCCATTACCACAACTCAGGTTGCCTAGAATATAATAACTAAAAATATAACCCTGGATATAAATGCTTTTTAAAATTACATTTTAAAATAAACATAAGTCTTACACTAGCGAAAGTATTACAACAATACACTTTTCAATTTTTTAATGCACATATGCAGAGTTAAATTGGGTTCTTCTGCAGGTTTCTTGCAATGGCTAAGTGAACCACAAAAAAGGAGTCATACTAATAAAATTATTATATTTCATATATATGATACGGTCCAGGTGGATAAATCAGTCATTGTAATACAATGCCCGGACATTGTATACAATGTCTAAGATATTTGGGCAAAGTAAATAATGCATATTCAATTCCCATATAAACTAGTCATTGTAATACAATGTCTAGTCATTGTATACAATGCTAAAACTGGTGTGGGCAATGTGAATATTAGAGTTATTTTTAAGTATTATATTACCTGCGTGCTACGTTATAATATATCGTCTGCGTCCTACGGGTTACGATAACTTTTATCAGTAAATAGTAATACCATTAGTTAATCTGGAATTTGTGGGAATTTTCAGTCATATTTGTCATAGCCGACAGTACACATACTGTCGTTTACGTGTTACGTGTATCATTTAATACTGTGTTATAATTGTGTAGGTAGTATATTTTTTGCGTATTGTTTTTAAAATGGAAAATACATTTATTAATCGTTTAAAAAATATTTTAGAGTTTAAAAAACCTAACAGTACATATTTAAGTAAACTTAAATATGATGAACTTATACTGCATTTGAAAGAACTAAAATAAAAAAAAAACGAAAATTCCAAATGATTATAAATTGATTAAGAAGTATGATACAATGAAAGTCTGTAATGTGGAAAGACTTGTTGTTCCAATAAATGAAGATAACCAAATTAAATATTACGTGCATATCGAAGAACTTTTTAATATTCTCCATGAAACTCATTTATCAATCGGACACGGGGGTCGTAGTAGAATGGAACATGATTTAAATAATAAATATAAAAATATAACAAGGGAGGCTATTATGTTATACCTGAACTTGTGTGAGTCATGCCAAAAAAAAAGGGAAGTAATATTAAAAAGGGCTTAGTAGTCAAACCTATAATATCAAAAGAAATGATCTCACGATGTCAAATAGACTTAATTGACATGCAGGCACAGCCTGATGGTAATTATAAGTTTTTTTTAGTCTACCAAGACCATTTAACGAAATTCGTAAACTTACGTCCTTTACAACATAAAAGCGCAGAGGAAGTTGCGTATGTTTTACTGGATATATTTACAACTTTTGGTGCTCCAGCTATATTGCAAAGTGATAACGGTAGGGAATTTGCAAAAAGGTAGTAGAAGAATTATGTAGCATGTGGAAAGACTTGAAAATAGTACATGGTAAGCCTCGCCATTCGCAAAGTCAAGGTTCTGTATAACGTGCCAACCAAGATGTTGAGAATATGTTAGGAACGTGGTTGCAAGACAATAAGACCAAAAAATGGAGCAAAGGCATAACATTTAT